TTCGCAATGTTCGCAATGTTCGCAATGTTCGCAATGTTCGCAATGTTCGCAATGTTCGCAATGGCAGTTCTGAGACCTTGGCGTGACCGTGTCTGCGTCGGTTTTATGCCGTGTTCCGGGTATTTGATTGGATGAAGAGTAAATTTTCGAGCAGTTTGATTGGTGTATCCCTTGCCTTGTCAGGACTGTGTTCGTGGCGTGAGGTTTTCACAGTCATACGAAAACTGCTCTAAAGAACACAATATGGGCTACACGAAACTCACAAAGGAACCTAAGGAACCCACGATCCCCCTGGATATGCTACTGATTGTTCTATATAAACTGGGTGCTTTGCTTTGTCTAGGACAGTCTAGGTGTATGATCGGAAAGTAAGCTAGCTACTATAGGTGAACCAGATGGTTATAAGAGTTGTAGTGTATCTACGATAGTATGTTCTAAGCAAAATTTGCTTTATCCCTCGTTATCCCTCGAATCAGAACAGCAGCGAAGATCATCCCAAGAATCTACAATACAATTACGAGAAAACATAATCATAAGTTAAATCTTTCACAAGAAAAACCTTCCAAATTTAGCATTAGGACAGTGATGTAATGAGCATCTCTGGAATTGGAAAGGTGCGAGTCCGCGCGTTAAAGAATCCTAGTCAACTAGAATGCATTACACCCCTATATTATTGTTTACATCGTTCGCCTACATCGTTTTCAAAGCTCTTCCATGCACTGGTGGAGCAAAATTTCTGCAAATTCGCTATGCTTCAAGGTTTTCAATTTCCCAAAGTTTCCTTCCTTCCTTTCCACAGCTTAACTGGGAGGAAGGTTTTAGAGAGATTCTCTTTGAGACAGGACTTTTCGGTCGTCCAACTATTAGACATTTAGAAATTTACCTTAGATTCGTTGCCAAAATTTAACAAATCTCATGGAAAGCTTAAAATGACTAAGTATCATTATTTTATTTTATCTTAAAACGTCTAGCAGGAATAACAAGACCGATGGAACTGGATTTTCAAACTTCACCTACGAAACCGCCATTTTGCATGGCACAGAAAATGTCCAACTGTTTTGATTCCGGCGCGTTATGTATTGTAGTTGACTAGGATTCTTCAATATTGGCGCTAAATGGAACAAATCTACTTTATATATAGGCATCATATTTTTCCACTTCATATCATGATCACGTGTCATTCCCTAGAGCATCATTCACAATAGTTATTACAATATTGTTAGCCATATTTCGCCGTTCGGTGTATAGTGTGCCCTATGTGCCATTTAGGCGCAAGGAGGATAGGTACAGGTATAGTGTTGACAGAAAGCACATGTATGCATGTATACAATAACGTACCTGGGCTATTATGATAGCGATACAGACGGAGCCAATCAGGTATAGCTTATCATAAATACTTTCCATCAGTTTTTCATAGCAACCCTATCAAATAAAGAGAATAAACAACGCATTACCTATAGCCATCGTGTGCGTGCATTATGAGAACATATAGCATTCATTTCGTCAAAGGGAAATTGTTTCTTTCATTATATAAAAAGGAAGAAAAGGAAACTACTTTCTTCGGCTGTGAATATATTACTGAATTTGCTACTCAGTCTCAGATTTCAGAACTCCGAGTAACAACGTTTTTTGAATAGGTGTATTCCACCTATGGTGCATGTTACGTCATAGCCGCCATGTTGGTCGACGATAACAAAGAATTCCTCGTTAACTTCTCTTGTTAGATCATAGTTAATAGAGGAGACAATGTAGAACTTGAGCAAAAAAATTTGCGAGCGGTTTCTGAAAAAATAACGGAATCATTGAATGTTTGCGCTTTCCTTATCTACAGTTTCTAAAAATTCCCGTCCGCTCTCCTGGTATTTTTCTAAAATATCAAATATTACTTCCAACTCGTCTCCAAATACGAATTCTTCAGTGTCATCCACCATATTTGTTTTGATATATTGTGTGCAAGGTCAGTGTCACGTGAAGGTACGGTTCAACATCAAATGCAAAACAATAGGCTGGTCCTTTGAAGTTTGCCAGCCTTCCTAACCATTCCCCTCTTTTAATTATGGTTAGATCAACCAACATGGAGACTGTTTCATCGTTATTTATATATTTCAAGGGATTTTAGTCAAGTGGTTACACCCTTAGAATAAGTACCTTTGGATAGACATCTTCAACGCTCTTCATGGGATTTGCGCAGTTTGGTTTTTTGGTCTTACAACAACTGTCAGGTAGCTTGGTATGGTTGCCTTCACTGTACTTCGAGCGAAACCAGTTGGTGTAGTTCGCAACACCGCAACACTTCTCCTGCAAACACATAAAACATGCGTTATTTACTGTTTTTACGTAAATGACCAATCATAGACAGGTATGAACTGGAACCAATCAGAAGCGAGAAGGATCAGCTTCAGTTTCATTCAAACAAGACGCCCTATAGGCGTTCACTGGGTTGCCTGTGTCACACACAGAGGCCTAGTACAGCTTAAAAAGTTTGCAATGTTAGCCAAAAGATAATGAAATGTTTCACGGAAAAGAATGATTTCGTTTAACTCGTCTAAGACGATCTTCTTCCTTAAGGAGTTCTCTACATTACATTAAAATAATTGCAGGTTCAGCTGCCCTT